GACCACTCTGCATCTGGGATGTTAAAATAAGTTTATTTTTGTAAAAACGTGTAACTGTTGAACATTTCAGCAGCTACACATTCACATGCAGGCGGGAGCAGCTTTTAAGCACCCCCACACACAGCTGCCTCCGCAGGAGGTAGTTGCTTCTGGGGGGAAGGAAGAGACGAGGTTGTCGACTTGGCAGGAGCCAGTATTAGCGGGGAGTCAGCTTGAATACAGAAGTGCCTGGGGGAGCAGGAAGGAGAGGAGGAAGGTGCAGGTAACCATGAGGGTTACAAGATGAGCCCAGGCATTCACAGGTGTAGTAAAATATACTACTACTCAAGGACACTTACTACGTGCTACTTCCATTAGCTGAAATTAATCGTCCCCCATTTAATGAAGCATGATTCTTCCTCATTCAGCGCTACATTCCATTTTCAAAGGTAAGAAGGGGCTAATGGGATTAGTTGTTATTTGAAGTCTGCAATCTTTTTTGTTTCAAAGGATCTTAAGTGATATCCTAGAATCAGTAAACAAAATGGGATGTATTCTTGCATAAATAGTTACATATACTGTGTTTAACAGTGAGAACAGAATTCTATAGATGGAAAATCAAGTTTAAAGGAAATTGAGCAAAATTATTACAGGACAGATGTCAAGTCCACTGTAACTCTAAATATTTCATATGTAGTCACTTGGAAGTGCATGAGTTCACCACATCTGCATAGCACTTAAATTAAAATCATCCTTTTATAAATACATTTAGTTTCATGTTAAGATAAAACAGATTCTTAAAGATTTTTTTTTTCAAATAGCAGCAGAGTAGTTCCTTTGGAAAGAAAGCTATAGGCATGATCTTGAAATCAACTTTTAAGAGATCAATCTGGACCATTTCTAACTGTGAAGAGGCAACCTAAGGACACAAACAGAAATTAAGATTTTTTTTGAAAGTCAATACATTTAGGATAAGCCGAACAAAGTCCTTGACAAGTTAATGTCAGCTTACAAGAATAAAGAGATACAATTCATACCATATATACTAGGAAACTTTCATTACGTTAATAAAAAACCCCTCAAAGTACTACATAGAATGTAACAGTATCTTTCACAAAATGCTTCAGAAGTTAAGTTTCCCATTTTCATTTTTCAACTGCAACTATTAAAGAACACAGGCAAACGAGAAATCTTCTGAAATAGATCCTATCTGAAGGCAAGAGTTGATAAGATGAAGGGATAACTGAACACTGTTCCAAACAAGAACAGTTACAGAAAAGAAGTCTGTCACAGTCATACCAACAAAAGCCTAAAAAACTAGAAGAGTCTGTAGTAGATAAGCAGAGAAAAAAGGTATATAAAAAAAACTTCAAAGATCTGAAATGTAGGCAAGTCTCAAGACAGGTTTAAACGAGATGGGCACATAAGTCACTCTTTTCTGTCAACAATTAAAGACTGCATTTTGTACATGGCTAATTGAGGCATTTGTCAAGCACAGGGTACCCTTCTATGCAAAGTTTTCTGTATTTGCTAATAAATTCCCTTTTCAGTTATTTTCCCCATACTCAAATCAGTCAATATACTGTGCTCATTTGTTCATTAATCACAGCTTTCAATGAACTAACAACTTGAATACTGTATGCTCCCTTTCCTCAGGATAGTAAACTGGTTGCACTTGAAGTCCTAACCAAGAGAACTGTCCCCTAATTTTGGGGAAAAGAAACCGATATAAATTGAACGAAAAAAAAAATCATAAGAGTTATCATAGATTGGATCTTCTTGGCCAGGCACCCTCAGGACCTGACTGGTCACAGATGAGGGATTTTGCTGGACCAAGAGAGATCATTTCTTGCCCTTTGCTACCAGCCTCACCCCTTATCCCGCCACTTTACTGGGCTCCCCGGCTCCCTTAATAGCCCAGCTGGGTTGTTCTCTGGACTTTCTGCAACCCCTCTTAACATTCCCCTGCAGCCCAGCTGATCTGCGCAGCACACTCCCCAGCTCCCTTGTGCAACCCAGCTGAGTCATGCATGCTAAGCTTCCCACTCCCATTCCGCAGCCTGCCTGGGCTGCACGCCAACCTTCCTGGCTCCCCACCTCAACCTCCAGCCCAGCTGTGTCACATGCACTAGGCTCCTGTGCCCCACATCCCCCTTGCATTGCGCTGGGCTCCCATCTCCCCTCACCCTCCCCGCAGAGTGCCCCGTAGAGTGCTGGGATTCTCTGATCCTGGAACATCTGTGGTCCTGCCAAAACACAAATATTGCCAGATGAGAGAGTTCCAGTTTACAGAGACGCAACCTGTATTTTACTCTCACATTAGCTAACATTTTAAATAGGATAAGTTTCTCAATAGAGCCAAACAGCCAAATGCACTCTCGACTCATTGTGGAGAATTTCCAGTAATAGCAACGAAACTTATGTATGATCATATTTACCACGTGATAGCTGTAAATTAAAACACCAATTAAAATCAATAGAAAAATTTCCAGCTCCCACTGAACTTGGTGGACCAGTGTTTTAATGCCTAATGTTTTAACCCAGAAAATGCTATCCATGCTGTTTGGTAAGTAAATGAGATACAAACAATGGTGACTAGACTCAGGCTTAATTTTGGCAAGAGTTCTGAAATCTGCACTATTAAAGCATCTTCATCTCTAGTGCTCCTGCTTAGAATACATTTTTATGACTGTCCCAAGAGAAAAGCTACAGTTGTAGTCATATCAGTCAGAGTATTACAGACACAAGCTGGATATATATTTTATTGAACCAACTTCTGTTTGAGAGAGAAACAAACTTCAGTTCTGCAAAAGAGCTTTATATAGTTCAAAAGGTTCTCTCTCTCTCAGCAACAGAAGCTGGTCCAATAAAAGATTATTCAGCCTTGTTTGGTCTCAGAGAAAAATGCCATTCATGACATACTGTATGGCAGCTGTGAGCTGGACGACACTCCATTAAGGACAAATATGCTGCCATCAGCCTTCGCTTCTACTAGTGGCTAAATATGACCCCCATTTTCTTTCCAGAGATGATAAACTAACACACTATTTCAGATTATAAATGAAAGTCATTCTAATATTGCAAATGTTTAGGGATGTAAAATCCCGTTTAATCAATTAACTGGTTAAACATTATGTTTAACCATTAACCACTTAAACAAGAATGGGGGCTGCTCTGGTCAGGCTGGAGAGCCCTAGCCCAGGATGGATTAAATTTTGTTTAATCAACTAACTGATGGATTGTCCATCAACTAGTCAATAGGCAGGGGAGCCCAGCCCCAGGAGCTAACACCGCTGCGGCTCTACCTTTTAAATGTATTAAGAGCAGGCAGGAGACAGTGTGGAGGAGACGGAGGGGGGGGGGGCAGGAGAAGGACGACTGGCTTTTAAGCCATGTCCCCCCCCAGCACCAGCCCTTGCTCCTCCCTCTTGCAGCCTCAGGAAGCGACTAGTCAAGGGATTAGTCCACTATCTGATAAGCTTTTGCTTGCTGACTAGTTGCCTACAGTGGGCCTCGCTGGACTGGAGCAGCTCTCTGCCCGTTGTGGGCGGGGGGCTGCTCCAGCCCCGATGGTTAACTGTAACCAGTAAGCATCACCCATAGCCAGCTTTCTATCCATCTTACAGTCCATTTATCCAATCCATACTCCCTTAACTTGCTGGCAAGAATATTGTGGGAGACTGTCTCAAAAGCTTTGCTAAAGACAAAGTATATCAGATCCACTGACTTTCCCATATCCACAGAGCCAGTTACATCATCATAGAAGCTAATCAGATTGGTCAGGCATGACTTGCCCTTCGTGAATCCATGTTGACTATTCCTGATCACTTTTCCTCTCTTCCACGTGTTTCAAAATGGATTCCTTGAGGATCCCCTCCATGATTTTTCCTGGGACTGAGGTAAGGCTGACCGGTCTGTAGTTCCCTGGATCGTCCTTCTTCCCTTTTTTAAAGACGAGCACTACATTTGCCTCTTTCCAATCATCTGGGCTCTCTCTCTCTAGCTCCACGAGTTTTCAAAGATAATGGCCAAAGGCTCCACAATGACATTTGCTAACTTCCTCAGTACCTTAGGATGCATTAAATCTGGGTCCATGGATGTGTATGTTTAGCTTTTCTAAATAGTTCCTAACTTGTTCTTTCCCCACACTTCATTGCCTAGTGCATTTGTCTGGGACCTGACCTTGTCCGTGAAGACAGAGGCCAAAAAAAAAAAAAAAAAAGCATTGAGTACTTCAGCTTTTCCCACATCACCTGTCACTAGGTTATCTCCCTCATCCAGTAAGGGCCCCACACCTTCTTGCTAACATGCATGTAGAAACCTTTCTTGTTATCCTTCACATCCCTCGCCAGCTGCAATTCCAATTGTTTTCGCCTTCCTGATAACTTCCCTGCATTCTCGAGCAATATATTTATACTCCTCCCTAGTTATCAGTCCAAGTTTCCACTTCTTGTAAGCTTCTGATACTTATCAGTTAACCAGTCACATCCCTATGTTGTGTACCTTTTATTTATAGTAGACAGATACTATTAAGAATGTAAAGTATGCAAATTTACTAATACATCTAGAGCAGCCATCTGGCAAGTAGACACCAACCCAAGATGAAGAAATGTTACTTATAAAGAGAAAGGTAATTTGTATGAACTGCCATGCATTACTGCTATATTCTAAATGAGGATTTAATCAATAGTTTAATGAAGATCAAAACTTATTGTAATTTACTCCCATTACTTTATACATTTTGAATAAAAATTAACCACACATCAAGTGAGCCACTTCCCTGCCCAAGTTAGTTTTTCAGATAATTCCTTTTCTTATTAAGATACTGATTGCCATTCCGTGTTCAAGGTGCTTATGATAACTGTGTTGCTGATAAGTGCAGGTGAGAAGAATGTGCAAAACACACAAAAAAAGTCATAATTTGAGTAAGAAACTCTGTCATAGCAAATATTAACCTATTAGCACAATTTCTTCTACTTCCTGGCTGAATTTTATTCATCATTCTTTGTTCTGAAACTTACACAGAGTGACTGATGCTCTTGAGCTGGCTGTTCTCATCCTCAAGTTCTGGACTGAAGGATTCACATCTTTTCCAACCATCTTCTGTTTTAATCCATCTCCATCCTGGAGATCTCCAGTCTTGGCCCAAAAATGGCATGGCTTTCCTGTAAGCAATAAGTAGTTTATTCATTACAGGTATGATATTTAACTGAAATATTCCTGGACATATTTCAGAACCTCCCTCACATTTGTGTCATTACTCCACCCTTTCCCCATTTTAAAGGGGCAAGCAAGTTTCAGAAAAATTAGATTTCTACAGTTAACGGTGTCTGGCAAAGAAAAAAAATTATTCCCTTTTCTCTTTCATGATAAATAAAGGATTACCTGAAATTATAAAACAAATGTTTTACTGCATTAGAAATTCAGAAGTCATGTACCTTCCCCCACATCCCGAAATCTGAAAGAGATGGAGAATTGGTAAGTGTAACAAAGGTACAGCAGAAGCTGAAACCTGATTAAATTAAGAAACAAAGTGATTTTTATTCAGATCATTTAAGATGAACGATGTATTTAATGCAAGCAAGTCAAAAAGATCAAAGAAAACCTTGTTAAAGAGTCAAAAGCTCCTTCCATTAAAGAATTAGTGAGTTTCCAAACCATCATTCTTCATTTTCCAAGTCTCTCTCCAGAAAACAGGAAACATTAAACTAGAGATGTAATAGTATAGTTGATTAACCAACAAGCAAAGCTCATACGTTAATGCTATAGACTACACCATTCTCCTCCACCCGTACCAGTAAATTTTTTAGCAGGCTGGCCAGCAGCCCAGCTTAGTCCCTGCTTGCACTGGGTCCTGAACCTACCCCCACTGCGACTCTGCATTTAAAGTGTATTAGTAGCCAGGCAGCCCGGCTCAGTTCTGGCTCGTACTGGGTCCAGAAGCTCAAACCCGTCCTGCCCAACAGGCTGGCTGGGGACTACAGAATAGTCAACTAATGGATAAGAATTCATGACTATTCAATTAACTGATATTTCAAAGGCACTAATCTAGAACATATGTTTGAAAATTGTGGAGGACTTTTAAAACTCAGTTGCTTATTAAATCAGAAAGAAGGCATACAAATATCATCTCTCTCAACCCTCAGGTCACCTTCAAAGTACCTACAGTACAAAATGAACTATTTCTCCTGCTCATGCATTTTGCACAGGAAGAATTGCTAGGTTACAGATCATTAGTGTTCCAGAAGTGAGAGAATCTCATGAAAAATAGTAAATTAAAATTACTATGAGTGGGAATACACAGGAGTTAGAGAGAAATTTAAAAAAATGGAGACCTGCAAGCCAAATCTTGAGAATTTATTTATGAATAAAAGATAACTAAGTGATTCAGTGGATGTATATTTCCAAGAAGATATATTATCCACAATGAAAAAAGTTTGAACTTTAAGTGAAACACAAAAGAGTTTTCACACAATAAAATGCTAAGATGTCTACACTATCCCACAATTTAGACTATGGAAGTGTGAACAGCAGTGCACACCAAAGAGATGCACTATAATTCCCATCTGTGGCCTCTCACAGACATTTAAGTGTGTGCCCACAGCATCCACAGAGGGGAGTTATAACATGGTACCTCACTGTGCGCTGGTATTCACAACCCCTTACTCCAAGATGTGGGGCAGAATAAACATTCCCTAAGCCTGTAAAAATATATTGGAATAGGACAGATGAAAAACAAGTTTTGTCACATCTTTTCTTTGTATTAAAGAGATTGCCAATAAAGTTTGAGGTAGGTGGACAGAAGTGCAGATTCTGGAAAACTGACAAAAGTATAATTCAACTCTCCGGCCTTCCATGATTTTGCTCATACAGTAGCATGGTATGACGTTGTAAGGAACTACGCAAAAAAGAGGTGGTGATTTGGAATCAAGTTTCTGTTCCAGACTGAGGATCTAAATTTGGGTCTCGCACATTGGTTCCCAAATCACCGGGTTATTGGCTGTTAAGAGCACCAATTCCTCCTCCTGGGGTTTTTGTTCATGATGCCTATATACCCCTGTGCATCTAGACCCCAAATTTAAAATGTTTCAGTTTGATGTTTGGTTCATTTTTTTTTTTCCCCTTTTTTTCCCCCCCCCCCCCCCCCGCCATTTTGACCAAAAACCTTTGGATAAGTCTATTCAGGATCATGCTTCAGCCACCCTATTTTAGTCTTGTATTAATAGAGATCATCAACAAGCTCCACAGAGAAGTCCCATCATGCTCATTATCAAGTGAAGTACACTTATGATAGCTTACAAAAGTATGGAAACACAATTATCCTGAGAATTCTAATGTCAAGAGGAAGTAAAGACAATAATCTTAATTATTTGGTCAGTTAGACACGAGGCTGAAGACAGTTATTCATGTCTGAAATTCTAAAATCTGTTTTAGAGATTTTGTACAAGTCTGGTAAGAATTGAAAACATTTCATAACATTTTCAATAGAAAATTATTTTTTTTAAAGTATGTTGTTTAAAAAATGTTTGGGAAAAAAATTCTATGTACTGGATTTACTGCTCTCCTTTTTTCTTTAAGTGGCAAAAGGAAAAATGAAACCATCTAAATTTGCCACTAACTTCTCAAACTTTGGAAAAGCTTTAAAAATGTATAGAATGGTAGAAGGAAAGAGTCTAGATTTCATTTTATTGTTTTCAGTGGTTAATCAAACATTGAAAGGAAAAAAAAATCAATTTTCAAATCTGAAGACCCAACAAATAATAATTTAAAATGAGAATTTTCCATTTTAGTGCTTCCTGATTTTTGAAGGGAAAAGGATCAACATACACGTATCCTAAAAAAATTGTTTGATAAACACCCTTGTTTTTCCAATGGAAATTTTAGTTGAAAATATTGAACAGCTCTGCTTAGAGAGCCATTATTCATCTTGTCCAGCACAAATTTTAAATGGCGTGCTGACCAACAATTTAGTACAGGTTATGCAAATAGCGTAAGCTGTTTATATTTTCCTGGATTCCTTAACGACAACTTGGCCACAATATTCTGTAGAGTGTTTAAAAAAAAAAAAAAAGAGAGAGAATGCATATGAGCGACAGTCAGTTGGCATTGCCGGTTGGCTGTTCCATCAGATCACATAGTCTTTAACCAAAGATTAAGCTTTAATTCTTGAAACTCCAGGACAATCCTGGAGGTTGCCAACCATAGAATCAACAGTATTAGAAAAGAATATGTGAAGCCTTATTCAAGACGCTTCTCATGTTCCTATTATCTCAGGCGTACGTCAATGTTATGCTTCTCCCTTCAATTTCTCCTGATTCTGACTTGCAGCTTCTAGCAGGTGAGTTTCAATTTTAAATGTCTGCAGGACTGTATCCCTCCCCAAAGAAGTCTTTCAATCATGTCTTTCGACCGCATACATTGTGCTGTACTGAAAGCAATGCTGTTCTTATAAAAGGTTGTTTTACATTTCTTATCAAGGTACAGTAAAACTCCGATGGTCCGACATCTGATGGTCTGGCACTCCTGATGGTCAGGCACCATCAGGAACCTGGAAGTGCTCCGGGCAGCCGGACCATTGAAGCTGCTCTGCCCCCAGCTTCCCCGATTCAGCCGCTGCTAAAACTGATCAGCGGCTGACTACAGGAAGCCCAAGGTAGAGCTGCTCTGCCCCGGGCTTCCTGGAGTCAGCCGCTGGTCAGTTTCAGCAGCAGCTGACTTGGGTACACCTGGGACAGAGCAGCTGGGGTGCTACTAGGTTGGTCCAGTAGTGCCACTCCTCGGCACTGTGGGACCAACCCGGCAGCCCCCCAGCTACTCTGCCCCAGGTGTCCTGATTTAGCCGCTGCTGAAACTGACCAGCGGGGAAGAGCTGCTTTGCCCCCAGCTTCCAGGAGTCAGCCTCTGGTCAGTTTCAGCAGCAGCTGAATCGGGGGAGCCGGGGGACGGGAAGCCGGGGGCAGAGCAGCTGGGATGCTGCCCAGTTGGTCCTGTAACACTGCCCCTCGGGGCTGCGGAACCAACCCTGCAGCACCCCAGCTGCTCTGTCCCAGGCCTCCCCAAGAGCAGCTGGGATGCTGCCGGGTTGGTCTTGCCGCGCCAAGGGTCGGCGCTACCGGACGAACCTGGCAGTCACTGAAACTGACCAGCAGCGACTGAACCATGGCAGAGCCAGACTATTGGAAGGGGGAGCTATGAGGGGTCTGGCCCCAGACCCCTCATAGCCCCCCCCCCTTCCGATAGTCTGGCATATCTGATAATCCGGCACCCCTGGGTCCTAAAGTGCTGGATTATGGGAAGTTTACTGTATCTAGCTTTTAGGTGTTTGTGGCAATCACCAACTGAGCTATACCACTACAGTGTCAATAAAAATAGAGCCTGCTACGTTAAGACAATGTGTGAAGTGCTGCTGTAAGAACTGGAACACAGGCAAAGTAATCACTCACAAAAAACACAAACTGGTATCTCATTACAAGAAAGGTACTGACAATCTGGAAAGCTTTCCGAGCATCAAAAGTCATTAGAGACTAGATGGAATGATTTGAGGGAGGAGGAAACAAACCTTTGCAAACTGTTCATTAGGCAACATTTGTACCAGACAGGGATATTGACTAGATGAAGTAGTACAATTAATACTGTAATTATGCATCTATTTATGGAGAAAACTATGGTGATCTCAGAAGCCAATGCAGTTCTGTGTCATTTTTAGAGTCTTTAATATATCAGTACTTCCATCAAAGTAAAGAAGTATTCTAGATTAGAAGATATTACAAAGAAAATTCAATTTCATTTTTTTAAAGCAATGTTAGCACGAGTTGAACCTTTCTAGTCCAGCACCCTTGGGACATGACCAGTTCTCAACCAGAGAATTTGCCAGACCATGGGAGGTCAATATTGCCTACCAGAATTATCAACACTTCCACTGCTTATTGGGTTCTTGGAACAAATGTAGGGGTAAATTAGAGCTAAATAACAGTACAAAATACCAAGAGCCAGGACTGGTTGCTGTAAACAAACTTTATGGGTGTACCCAAGTTTCCAGTGGTCCCATAGTATGTGGACACTCAGCTAACTGAAATCATGCTGGACTACAGATGTTGCCAGACTAGAGAAGTTCAATCTATAGTACCCAATCAAGCCCTACACAAAATCACAAAGGAGTAGCTGAACCTCTCTGTACTGAATTTCTTCATTACCTTAATGTTCCAGTTTATGTTCTTAACATGTTTTTATAAATGTAGAGGGATTATTCACATCCACGAAGATAAACAGATGTACAGCAATTAGCAGGATTGGGATCTAAAATTGTGTCATTCAAATTTTACATTAAATAGGAAGGATATGATTACCAGTGAAACCCAATTAAAAGAGTGAATAAATTAAATTCTTAAAGAGTTAAATGTACCTTTAAGCTCTTGAACTTTGACAATTAGCAGACAGTCAGTATAATTATGCACAAACCCTCCTATAAAAGTTGTATCTGCTTTAAAACAGCATGCCTTACTATACATGTTCAATAAACTCTTGATTAGTTGATAGGCCTTAAAGATGACTTGTAAATCACTGGGATTAAAATCGCACTCCTACTGAATTTGTATTTCCTAATGAAATGTGTTCTTTATCCCTACAAAACAGATAACTGAATTCAAGCTTTTAAAAAGTACTAATGAAAGTGATAGGCAATACTTCTGTTGCTCCTACACAAACTAGTATTTAAGACTTTGTCTCTCAGTGCACTTTTATGACCTCCCATGCTTAGGGCAAGTAAGCATACTTCTATTTCAGAGGCAGAAAAAAACCTAGGAAACCAATTTAATTAGCAATAAAACCTTTGTGGAGAAAGCCATAGTGAGAGAGAGCCACAGAAAGCCAGTAACTCCATGTGAGATTAGCACAATTACGTGAATTGTGAATTCAAAAGAACAAAATATTCTCATCCTGTGCAATATTAAAAATATGTCTAGCTCTGCCTGAAAATGCTGCAACATGGTTTCCATCTTTAGTTGAGATATATAGACCATTAGTTGAGACACAGCCCTTTAGTATGCAGAAACCTGCTTTCATAGACTTTGCTTCTCTCCTGCAGCATGTAAAGCTCCAACCTCTTACTGACATTAGAAAACAAGGGAGGCTGCATTAAGGAAATAAGACCCAACAGGGCACTCAGAAAATGGTCCAGTTGTAAAATTGGGACTTAGATTTGATCCTCATTTCCTGGAAAATGACTAACATAGCCCTCAGATGAACAAGATTTGGCCACTCCTGAGATCATCAGTTTAAAGAGCTACCAGCCTGCATAAACCCACACACCTCATACATAGAGTGAGATCTTCATGATCTTATTACCTCATGCAAAGAAAACTAGCACCACCACAAAAAAAGTAGAGTTCTCTAGGATTTCTGAATGCTGGACCCATTATATTTAGTTTTCCCTCACAAAGTTATCCTCCAACTTCACACAAGATATAGTTTACAATAAACTTGTTTATTTAAATGTGCAGTGACTGGCACTATATAAAGAACAGATATTGTTTAGCTTCTTTGTTTCCATGCATTTACAAGCACAAACTAGAGTCAATTTCTTGATCTTTTGGGATTCTACCCTTTCCTGAAAGGGCACAGGAAATCATAAAGTCTGTTTAACAAAGCATTTCCGAGACTTTTTCTTTTGGTGGCGCGGACAGAGCATCACACAGGCAACTGACAGAACCAGAATTCCCATTCGGAACAGGGTATGCTACTAAGTCATTCTTATGGAGAAATCCCCCATCAAGCAAAGAAAGAAAAATGTGATCCCAAGTTACTCCATCCCTTCCTGTTGAGCACTGTGCACCTGGAGGATTTCCCTACTCAAAAAATCACCTCCTCATTTTCACGGTCTTCCATCCCAAATCTCTAATGCCTCTCGTCACAGACAGCTGCCTCACTCCAACCCTGTCTGCCACTCTTAACCCCGACCACTTCCTCTTTGCCTTGAACTCACCATGTCTCCCTCCTCCTCCGTTTCTCTAACCTACGGGCTCCCAAACGTGCCCTGCTTTTAACTATCAACCATGACCCCAACAACCCGAAGAATGTGTTTCCAACCGCCGTCACCCCTCATTGCCCGCCCCACAGCTCGCCTAGTCCACGCTCCTCCCGTAATCCCAGCACCCTGTGCCCGTGCTCAACAACACAGCCCAGCCCTCCCCGCCCCGCCCCTCCCAACCCCCCAATCCCTGCCCCCTCCCACCTCAGCCCAAGCCCGGCCCCAACCCAGTCCTCGTCCTCTCCTGACCCCGGCCCCGGCCTAGCGCGCGCTACCGTAGCCCCGACGCAGGCCCGAGGAGACGCGGCGCCCACCTGGCGAAGCCGCAGCAGCAACAGCTCAAGGCTGTTGACGGAACTAAGGTTGGGGATGAAATCCCCGCCCCCAGCTTCCCGCTGATTGGTTACTTACGGCTGGGCTTGTTGCTACCCAGCAGCACGATTTTCGATTGGCGGCGGGTGTTTGTGACGTCACGCGCCCGCAAAGCCCGCCCTCGTCACGTGACTGAAGGACGCGAGAAGCACATGTCAATGTTTTGGTTGGTGGGAGGGAGGGAGAAGCCCGGCCCCGCCCTATGGGCGGGGCAAGGGGCGTATCCCGTGCCCTGAGGCTATGAGAACAGTTGCCCCTCCCTCACTCGCGCCTAGGACTGGTCGTTGCGCCAGGGGTCGGTCCATTGTGATGTCACTAGCTCAGCTTTCCCTTACTCCTTTTACGAGCCTATTCGCTGGGGCTGCTTCCCGCCCCCCACGTGGCGCCTGCCTTGAGGAGCGATCTGAGCGCGGCCCTGCGGGGAAAGTTGGACGCGCAGACGAGTGTTTTCTTTTGGTGGGGGCGGCCGGTTTGTGGGGTTTAACTCTCGAGTTGTGAAGGTCTGTCCCCGCTGCAATGAACAGCCCACGGGTGGCCATGCTATCTGGGGAGGACTCCTGGCGCTTGGGCTGCTGGCTGAATTACCACCTGGCTTGTATTTGACTTTTTTTTTTTATGGAGTTGCCAGAAAAATAAAGTAATCTGCCTTTTCCCTGGGTCTAAAGATTTGCAGTAACACTACAGACTCCACTAGGTTAGCTAATGTTAAAAGTTTCTGTGTATAGCTGGAGATACTGCTTCTTCCTACTTTTGTATTTTAAGTGAAACAGATCAAAACTGAAAATACAGCAGCTGTGGTGCCCACCATTATGCAAGTACACTGAGTGTGCAGTGTGAGAGGGTTTGTGTCATGGGAGAGTGAGCTGATGTCTGTGGATGTTATTCTTCAAGTATGTAGAGAGGCTGGACAACTGCCTTAGGAAGGCCTTGCAATTTGGGGGGGATACTGTAGGGCACAGAGTGGCCTGGGGGATTACCGTGGGGACAAGTGTCTGCAGCAGGCAGCTGGCCATAGTATTATACCTTTCTCTGCTAGATTTATTAGCTCATTATTAAATATTTGTTCTGCAGGTGGGTAATAGTGCATGGTAATCATCACTCATTAACTCACTCATTTTCTTATTAAGCAAAATGTGAGCTTGTTAGGTCAATCACTAATAATTCTAATCCTTCAATCATTCTTGTAGCTCTTTTCTGAACCCTTTCCAATTGATCAAATCCTCCTTGAATTGTGGGCATTTGAATTATATACAGTAGTTCAGCAGCAGTTGGACTAGTGCCCCAGACAGCAGTAAAATAACTTCTCTACTCCTACTTGAAATTCCCATGTTTATGCATCACAGGATCACATTAGCTCATTTTTGCATTGGGAGCTCATTTTAAGCTGACTATGCACCACAAACCCTAAATCTTTTTTAGTGTCACTGCTTCTCAAAATAGAATCCCCCATCCTATACATTGGCCTACATTCTTTGTTCCTAGATGTCCTAGATTTACATGTAGTAGTATTGAAATGCATGTTGTTTGCTTGCACTCAGTTTAGCAAGCAATTCGAATCACTCTTTATCAGTGACCTCTCCTTTTCATTTTTTACCACTCCCCTGATTTTTATCATCTGCAAACTTTATCAGTGATGATAAAGTTTTTGTCCAAAAATGGTAAATAGGTTCTCTGTCCGATGCTATCTGTGGAAACTGGAGACATCTGATTAGTGATCATTCCTTGTTTGCAGTTATAGTTTGATACTGAATAGCCCGTTTTTAATCCACGTAATATGTTAGGGCCCTACCAAATTCACAGTCCTGAAAAATGCATCATGATGTACTCCTATTCGTTCAAACAATCTTGCTGACAGAAGGAGAGATGGAAGAAGGGAGGTGACAAAGGCCTTCTTTCCTCCCTTCTTATAATCTATCCCTTTTTACTGGAAAAATCTTTGCTGGGTAATGGGATCAGCAGTTCCATCACCTATGTGCACTGCCAGCTGTCCTGCAGGTGAATTGTAAATACTTTGTTTATAACTCTCCGATCAAACAGATACTGACCTTTTAGCACTTAGTTGGTGTGCGGGTATGCCTTTGTCTTAAAGAAAATGGTCCGAGGGCATTATTCAGAACTACAACATATTTCAGTAACAATCATAAGTAAAATCAACACGCAGCATTGATACACACATTGTAACGGGACGATGATGTCAAGTCGATAATGTATTTTTAAATGATATCTCACAAAACATAATTTTGCACAAAATATATCAAGACCATATAATAGGGGTGAACACCTGGTACAGTGTTACAGTAAATTACCATTCATTTGCTGAGTGGATATAATGCAAATGGAAACTCCAAGAAGCTGCTAGAATTAAACCATTTCTAGTCAAATTTCCCAGTCATAAACCAAATAAATACACTAAATAACTTGAGTTTGCACCCTTTATGGTTTTATGCTTCATCTCATAACTGATGGAAGCAAGAATATTTTCTTGCCCACACTGTATGCTATCTTTTTAATTATCTGGAATAGGCTATTACTTACTTGTATCTTTGTTATAATCTTGGCAGAACTGTGTGTGACCCATGTGAATAATAGGTTTGAGATCAGAATACAAGTTGGCATATAGGATAATATACTTTATGCTTTCTTTTTTTCCTTTGACAGCGGTTGAATGAATATGTTTGTGGCTGCTACTAATTGTTTACTTGCTGGAGTGACACAACTATCTTCTTCCATAATTGTAGACAATAATAAGTTTGACTTAGTGCCAAATGTTATAGCATTTTCCCTTGTCTTCCCCCTTCATACGCTCATTATAAATTTGTGGGAATTATAAAACATGCCTCTTTTCGTATTTGGATTTGTTCCAGCACAGGAGTGCTAGTTGTATGGGACAGTAACTTTAACCTTTTATTGTCCAGTATTTTAATTCAAATGGATCAAAATCTTTTACTAAATAAATGTACTAATTGTCTACACCATAGTTAGAGTTGAGTCATCCTTTCTGTTTCAAGGACAATTTTAGTACTCTATGTATTCCAACAAAAGTCCTTTCAGCTTCAAATTTTGCATATGTGTTCTTTGACCATCTGACAATATTTTGACTAAAATTGACATTCTTCAGAAAAGGGACGTTTCTAACACTATTTTTGAGACAGTCACCTCTGATAGTATATGACAGGTGATAAGACTCAGCTATGTTTATATTTAAACAAGAGCAAAAAATGCAAAAAAATAACATGAGCTGATTTGGTTACTTAGCAACTGGACTAAATCCAGATTCCAGGGGATTGATGATGACATCACAAACAGGTGAGATGTTTATAGCTGGTGAGAAACAAGGATGTGATCATGCAGCAAGAAAACAGTAAACAGTGGCACAGGGTCCATGACAATAGTAAAGAGAGATAACATAGGGCAGGGGTCGGAAACCTTTTTGAAGTGCCAAGTTTTAACCCTCCTGCCCTGGGCTGTGCTGCTCTCCCAGGAATTGGAGTTTTGCTGGCAGCTGCATTTTTTTTTTTCAGGACAAAAATTAGAACAAGAACAAAACTTGGCCAAAAGCCTTGCTGACCTGAAAATTATTTATCATACTAGGGGATTTATCTGGTGTTGCTCAGGTCCTTGTGGAGCTCAGGGCAAAGGGATGCAGGAGTCAGGGCTGAGAGCTGGGAGTGTTCACCAGGGCTGCCTACAGCAGCGGTGAAAATGATGCTGCTCGAGCAGTTCCCTGGAATATCCAAGGCCTTGCTGTCTTCGGGAGCTGAGGCTGCACTGCCTGGCCTGTGTTACTCCTCCAGGGGGTCGAGGGCTGCACTGCCAAACACCAGCCCACATGTCTCCTCCATGGGAGAGTGGAGGGAATGGGACTGCACTGCCTAGCCCCATCCCACCGCTCTGGGGGTGGGGCAGGATTGCACTGGGGCTCAGGGCCAGGAGAGAGGTTTGGAACAGGGGAGCCAGTGGCCAGCAATACGGACAGCTCTGGCCTCGGCTGGCCTCTCTCTTCCTGGTGAAGCCGCTACTCTGCTGTATAACTGCTCCAACCCACATTTACTGCTCCCAATGGTCATTATGGAGCATAACTGTTCCTGCTCTCAGACCCCTCCCTTTCCTTGTTATGGAAAACAATCCCATTCCAGGCACTTCCTGTTTTCCTGGCACAACCAAAGCCTGACATTGCTTTAAGTTAGGGGTCCCCAAGGCGGTGCCTGCAGACACCATAGCGCCCACTGGGGCATTTATGTGCACCCGTGCCAGTGTTTTAAAACAGTAGTCTCCAAAGTGGGGTGCGCACACCCCAGGGGTTGCGCAAGACTATCGGAGGGAGTGCATGCCAGTGTGCAACAGCTGAGAGGGGAGACGCTGGTTCCCAAGATATCCGAGGGAGCGCATGCACAGTGAACACGCTGCTCATGCGCTCCCTCGGATGTCTTGCCAACCAACATCTCCCCTCTCAGCCGTTGCCTGGCGGGATTCGC